GGAGGTTCTGGACTGAAATTTAAGTAAATGTACATCTGGTTTGCAATTTTTTAAATGGCTGTACATTTCAAACCCCAGGAAAAGCAGGCTGCAGATAGCTGTTTATTACAAATGACTTCCACCTCCTCCACAGCCCTCAAAGGCAAACTATAAAGCTGTGTGCAAAGCCAGACAATCTGGGCACCCAGCCATAAACCATCACTGCTGCAGCACAGATAACTGTTCTCCCTCTCAGCCATCCTTGGCTGCAAACCCACGGGGAAGAGCTCCAGAAACCAGACCTCAGCACCGCCAGGGCTTCTAATATTTTATGAACTTGAATTACAACTACGTTCGAGACCTCAGTGCTGAAAAATTACAGCGCTGATTCGCACCCAGGGCTGAGACCAAAACTCACTCGGATTTTCCTGGTACTCACTGGATTTTCCTGAAGCTCGAGATGCAAGAACAGCCAGTGATTTTACAGCTGCCTTCAGTGACAGAAGCCTTTTTATTGGGAGGAAGAGACAGACATGCTACTCTCTTCAAAAATAAGACAAAAGAATCAGATGCATATTTTAGAGTAGTGCTGCATTTTCCACCATCTTTCACACGACCTCAAAGAGCACAGTGACTGCTCCGTGCCAGTTTCTTTATTATCAAATCCAGACTTTTGTATCTTGGGCGGGAGACTTTAAAACATAGCAGTGACAAGGTAGGAAGGAGCACAAATGAAGTTGCAGAAAACACGGCTGTAACTGTATTTGGGAATCCACAGTGAAGTTACCCATGATTTAGTAATGATAAAATAAGCCTAAGTACATCTCCTTCTGGTATTTAAGATGTACAACTTAGCCACGCTTTCAGTTGACAATTTTCCTAACTAGCACAGATTCCTAAAGGGAGATCAAATAATACTTTGATTCCTCTGCTTTCATACATTAAGAATAACCATCTTTCATTTTACCAACAGCATTTGCCAGTGAAGAGACGGCACAGAGCACATAGATCATTTAGTAATGCAATTTACTGTCACTTCTAGATCATCTCCCCATTCAATAAAGTATACTTCTCTTCTAAACACTATTTGCCCTGGCTGATATCTTCATAATACAGCTGAAAACCTCAAGCCATTATCACTAGAAGGCATCAGCTGATCCTAAATTGGCTAGACTGCAGCGTCACAGGCATTTAAGAGGTTTCCTTATCATTCATCTTTAATACTGAGGGATCGACACACTCCTACCTGCAGCTTCTAGGCCAAGGGGAAACCTTCTAATGGTATTACCATTATCTTGTAATCTGAATTTTAAACAATTAAAACAATAGCACTTTTGTGTTGCAGGTCTCTACTGTTACCAAAGATGATACATTTTTTATCAGTTGTCACGTTTAAAGTCTTACATTAAACACTGATTTTTTTTAAAAAAAGCAGAAATATGCACTCTGCACTGAAGCTGCTGAGCCTTGAAAGAGAAGCAGCACTGTAACAAGGCACTTAAATTTAAGCCATCAAGAGAGACCATTTGCTTTACTCAGGAAAGGTTTGGTCATTTTATTTTAAATCTGCAGTTCTTTTAGTCAATACGATCTGGCAATTCTTTCCAAATGAAAGCCTCTTTTTACTGAAGCAGGGGATGGCTCCACCCCTGACCTCCTCCTTCAGCTTGTTTTGGAAAGGGGCCAGATGACAGCATTTGGAAAAGCGCATGTTTATCTCGGCGAGGCCAGCTGCTAAGTTAACATATTACCCGTTCCCACATCCCCCGCTCTTGGTTAAGTCTTCACAGCTAAAACTGAAAGTAAACGCTGCCATTGGGCTTTTAATAAATGTAACATGAAAGAGAAAAGGAGTCTCCATGGCACGGAGCATCTGAAGGGGCTGCAGAGGTCTAGGTCATTTTGAGTGAACAGCAGGCAGTAACTCTGTTAATAAAATTCCCGGCCTTTCTGAATGAAGTGAATGAAAAACTGAAAAATAAGCGGGTTTATTTCTAGATTAATTTAAAGCTATGCTCTCTATAAGACTGACACTCAGCAACAGTTTGCTTGACTACACAAGGAGATTATAAACCCCTGCTTGACAAGACTTTTCACTTTATCTTGTTTTATTGTTAGTCCATACTTGGCAAGGTATGGAACATGGGAACTTGGAGAGTTTTAACAAAGATTCTTCAGATTAAAAGTAGTCTTATGCCAAATTGTATTTTTCTCATTTTAAGGAAATTCCATCTCATCATTTTCAAAGTCTTAAAAACCTCTTTCAAGCAAAAAAAGTACAGAATTACCTTACTTCCCACCAACATCAGTGAGAGACCTCAATTTAGTAAAAGCAGAGTGTGAGACGTTATTAGAAAAGACAAATCCTGGAGAAGAAGCCAGAAATTAAGGCGGAGGTGGGGTTTTCATTGATCCCAGCAAGGTCCAGCAGGCTTTGCAATGGGCAAACCCATCCACTCACAGGTGATCAGAGACAGGTTTTGGAGAAAGCCAAGATTCCATGGCTGAGGTGAACCCCTAAGTCCCCACAGGGTTTTTAGCCCAAGGGCAGTGTCCCAGAGCAAACTCCACTCTGCTGTGGCCAGCGGGGAAATGGCACAGCCCAAGGCTGCCTACAAGGACATTCCCAGGCACTGGGACTGGCACCTTGCACCGCTGACAGCTCCAAAATAATCCATGTGCTGCAAAGCTGATGTACAGCACACACGAACCCCCCGTGTGTAACACAACAGCTCTGAGTCTGATGGATCCCAGCCTTTCATCTGTCAATATGGGAATCCACACATAGAACTGAAAAATTAATATATCCTTAATATATCCTGCTGCAATCCAGAGAAGGTCTCAATAAAAAGGTTTGTCTGTCTTGTTTCTTTCATTGCTGCGAACAAAACCTTTAGACAGAAGTACAAAATACTGCCTAAAATTAGCCCCTATTAATGCCCATCCCTCTCGCCCCGGAGCAAGTCCTGGCTGCAGCAGTTTTCCCCGTGGCAGCACCTGTTCTCCGGGGGCTGGACTGCAATGAACCCTCCTCATCTCAGGAAGCCAGGCAGATCACTTCCACTCAGAAATGATCCGTTCCCCTTTGAAGATAAGGACAAAGCCACACAAGGCATTATTACACTAGTGCTGCTGCTCTTAAGCACTTATTTTCCCTAAAAAAAGTTGAAATTAACCTGATTTACTACAGCTTTATTTTCTCACAGACTGAGTCCTGGGCTCGGAAGCAGCCAGGTTATCCACGAGGAATCTCAGCCAAAAACCACCAAGCGCTTCCCCAGAGCAGACCGAGCTTCCAGAGGCTGGAGCTGCTTCCTCACTGGGGTATCCAGGGCTGCCACTGCTGCTTTCACCTTCTGGAAAGAGTTCCAGAAGCCACAGCAGGGACGCCAGCGCATCCGGGGGCTGTTGCTCGGCACACACCATTTTGGGCTCACAAATAACACACAGGAGCAGGCAGGCAGACATCCCCGGGATTCCTGAAGCCCAGGAACCGCGGGGAGGAAACTCTGTGATGGGCTAAGCACAGGTTGCACCCACTGCAAGTCACCTCCTACTTCCTTGGAAAACACCAGGGGAAGCAGTGAGAACCCGTGTGTACCTTCTCGAAATTATTATTATTTTAAAAAATGAAATATCCGAGAGGAAACACCCATTTAAATTCTCATTTCAATTTGTCGGGGAATCCAAAAAAAACCCCCCAAAAATCCCACCCACGGCAGGGAAGGAGGGCAGGATTTGGAAGCCGTGCCCGGCTCTCCCAGTGCATCCAGCAGCAGTGCAGATGTTCTCCTGCTCCTCCGCTCTGGCATTGTCCTCAGGTCCTCAGCACCACCGACACCCACCTGATTTAAAGCTCTGCACCACCGGCCAGCCCACTAACAGCGGGATTTATTGGAATTTTAATTACCTTAACCGGCCTAATGTCCACAGCAAATTTCTGTACATAAATTAGCATAATTCGCCAGATACATACATATGCAAACCAGAGGGAAAAATATGCAACAGACACGGGTATGACGTCCTAAAGATTATTTCTAAATTTAAACTGGCTGTTAGAATAATTGAATAAATCTCATCTCGCAGATACACTCGAGTTGTAGCAGAAAATAAACTAGTCACAAAGACCTGCAGTATTATTTTTAATGGGAAAAGAGGGGGGGAAAACCCAATTGAGTTCAATAAATCCCATAATTGAACCTTCAACTAATTACATATTAAGAAGATTAACCTTTGACACAAACTTGTGATACAAACAAAGAAGCCTCGAACAATTAATAAACTTCCAGTGTTTCAAGATTTCTCAGGTTAACAACTGAGCCCTCCCCATTTTCCTCCCCTTCTGCGTCGCAGTTAAAGGAATAAACTCTGTTTAATATTCTCTCTCCCCCTGGACATTCCAGGTTTAGACGAAGATCGCTCTGTGAATACTCAGGAGAAAATTACTGCGGATCCTCACAATCTCATTACGCGGGGGGGGGGGAAGAGGAAAAATAACCCAAAGCTAGATATTTGAACTTTTAAAAGAAAGCAGCCATGAAGGACAAAGCTGGAGCTCATGTGCTCGCCCACAGGGCAGCACTGCTGGCCATGCCCACAATTTTCCAGCCCTGGGATCATTTCCAAGGCGCTGTGCGATAATTTTTACACGTGTAAGTTCTAAAGCAAGAGCACACGGTCGTGCCTTGCAGCAGGAGCTGCCTTCATGTCATGTCTGAATGGCACAACACGCTCACAAATGGCACTTTCTGCTCGCTGTGAGGGGAGAAGCAGCGATTCCGGACAGAGAAAAAACACCGAATTAATTCTACCATTAAAAAAATATCCGGTGGTTGCTCGCATCGTATAAAAATAAAAGGGATTTTGAAATGTTTTGGGGTGTTTCTTGCTTCGCTGACTAATAAGCAGTTTAAAAATAATAATAATCTAGTTTAGACTTGTAAAAAAGGAGCAATGCACCGGCTTTGCAGGTCTCTTCCCCTGCTAACTTCTACCGTGCCCAGATTAAGAGAGGCTCTTACCTTTTAGTCTTTTCTTTATGGGGCTCTTTGGCAGCTTTCGATTCAGTCTTGCTGTAAGGAAACAAGTGAGTATTTTGTCTACCGTGTAGGGGTCTTTCTGACGTGTTCCTTTCTTATTTTAATGCTTTTTTTTTTTTTCAATTTTTTGTAAGTGTACCCGTAATTTCACGAATATGAATACGAAAAAAATCTCACACGGCAAAAAAAATTAAGTTTTTTTGTTGTTGTTGTTGTCGTCGTTTGTTTACCCCCCTCAGGGAAAAAAAAAGTCTGCCACACAGGAGATGAAAAAAACCCAACAGATCAACAGGAAAACACTATCCAAGTAGAAAAGCAAAGAGCTTCAGTGTTATCCAGCCCAGAGGAGAAGTGCAGCAAAAGCAGGTCCAATTCCAAAACAAGCTTTTGATTTCCAGTGAAGCAAAATTAAAAAAAAAAAAAGAAAAAAAAAACAACAAAAAATAACCAAGACCAAGAAACCAAGACAAAATACACGTTCAAGTCCCCAGCTAAATTTCTGCACGAGTGTGTCTTAAATACAAGTTTGCTTTCATGTGTTGCAGCAAAACCCACGGAAAGCCAGGATTTGGAGTTGATCGGGATGAGTTCTCGTGTGTGTGTCTTGATGGGTTCTCAGTCCACATGGAGGAGCATCTGAGGGTTTTTCAAAAAGTGCAAATCAAAAAAAGAGAAACCGGGATCCAGAAAAAGAGTTTTAAGATGGATCCCCCCTTCAAAATAAAAGGAGGAGGGGGTGAGAAAAAAAACAAAAAAAAAAACCCAACTGAAAGAGCACGGCGGAGGCACGGGGGGATGCGGAGTCTCACATGGGGCTGCGGGCAGGAGGAGGATCCCGCCGGGAGCTCCGGGGGGGCGGAGGATCCAGCGGAGGCTCTGCCAGGGGAGGAGGGTCCGCGGCTCCGCAGGGACCCCGCGGGCGATCCGCGGCGGGAGGAGGATCCGGCAGCCGCTCCCGCAGGAAGGAGCGAGCGCGGGGAGGGGATCCGGGGAGGAGGATCCAGCAAAGTCTTTCACGGAGGGAGGAGGGAGCGGGGAAACCCGACAGTCTGTGTGCCTGGCTCGCAGCGGGATCCGCGGGCAGGCGGGAGCGGGGCGATCCCGCGGCTCTCTCCGTGTGCTCCGCAGGGATCCGGCAGGGACCCGCGTGGGCGGCGGGGAGCGGGGCAGCCGAGGCGGCGGCGCGTCCCCGGGGAGCCGCAGCAGCGCCTCGGGCAGGGTCGGTCGGTCCGCCGGGGTGCTGAGGGGGAGGGGGGGGAACGCAGCGCCGCTCGCCGTCTCTCCCGCTCGCTCTCGCCTCGTCCGCTCGCAGGGCAGGCGGTGCCGGGCTCAGTGCCGCCGGGCCGGTCCCCCGCTCCTCCGCGCCGCCGCCGCCGCTGCCGCCGGTGCCGCCCTGGGGAGCAGAGGAGCCGCTGCCGCCGCTGCCGCCGCCGCGGCCATTTTGTCGCTGACTGACAGAGCCCCGCCAAGCAGCGCGAGACCGCGGGGCGGCTCCGCGCGCGCCCCCTCCCGCGCTGGCCGCCAACAGGAAGTGCCGCGCTCCCCCTCCCCCCCCGCCTGCCCGCCAGCACCGACCCGGCCCCTCCGACCACGTGACGCGGAGGGAGGGGGGGAGCCCCCGCCGGTATGCAAATGAGCGCGGCGGCCGCAGCCAAACGGCGGCGAGGCCACGCGCGCGCGCCGTGGGCCACGCCCCCCCGCCACCGCCGCGCGGGGGGAGAGGGGAGGGGGATGTGACCCCCCCCCCCCCCGCCCACCACAGCCCCCTCACAGCCCAGAGGGGTACAGGGGGGTCACCCCCACCCCGGCAAGTGGGTGTCGGTGCTTTCACACACACACAACATCTCTGTGCGAACGGCGGCGAACGGCAATTCACCCCTCCCTCGCACAACCGCCAGGGGTGGGGGGACAGAGGGCGAGAGAGATGTGTGCCCCAAAAGAGGTGTAGAGGGGCTGTGTCCCCCCGGAACGGGGGCGAAACATGCACACACACACACTCCCGGGTGTGGGTGCATATGGGTGTCGGAGCACTCACCCCACCGTGGGGGTGTAGAGGGGCTGTGTCCCCCCGGAAAGGGTGCAAAGGGGGTGTAAAACATGCACGCACACATACACCCGCGCACATAGGCATCGGAGCACTCACCCCTCCGTAGCACACCCCCCCCCGTGGGTAGGGGGAGAGAGATGTGTCCCCCCAAAGAGGTGTAGAGGGGCTGTGTCCCCCCAGAAGGGGTGCAAAACATGCACGCACACATATCCCTGCATATTGGCGTCGGAGCACTCACCTCTGCATCGCACACCCCCGCGGAGAGCTGGGGGGGACAGCAGAACTGTGCCCCCCTCCAAAAGGCACAGAGGGGCTTCACCCCCACCCCCGTGCAAACGGGGGTCGGTGCATTCACACACATACACACCGGCAAACGGCGTTAGGTGTGTGCACCCCTTACAACCCCTGGGGACGGGGCTGCAGGAGATCTGAACCCCCCCAGTGGATATAAAGGGGTGCAGAGGGGCTTCACCCCCACCCCCCGTGCTAATGGAGGTCGGTGCATTCACACACACACACACCGGCAAACGGCCGGTGCACCCCTTCCTCACAACCCCCGGCGATGGGGGTGCAGGAGATCTGAACCCCTCAAAGGGGTATAAAGGGGTGCAGAGGGCTCCCCCCATCCCCTGCAAATGGGGGTCGGTGCATTCACACACACACACACACACACCAGCAAACGGCATTAGGTGCATTCACCCCTTACAACCCCTGGGAATGGGGGTGGCAGGAGATCTGAGCCCCCCCAATGGATATAAAGGGGTACTGAGGACTCCCCCCATCCCCTGCAAATGGGGGTCGGTGCATTCACACACACACACACACACACACACACACACACACACACACACCGGCAAACGGCATTAGGTGCATCCACCCCTTACAACCCCTGGGAACGGGGGTGCAGGAGAGCTGAGCCCCCCAAAGGGGGAGAAAGGGGTGCAGAGGGGCTTCACCGCCGCCACGGTGCTAATGGGGGTCGGTGCATTCACACACCACACACCGGCAAACGGCATTAGGTGCGTTCACCCCTTCCTCACAACCCCTGGGGATGGGGGTGCAGGAGAGCTGAACCCCCCCAAATGGATATAAAGGGGGGCAGAGGGGCTTCACCCCCACCCCGTGCAAATGGGGGTCGGTGCCTTCCCCCCTCCTCACACCCCCCTGCGGGCTGGGGCTCTGTGGGGCTGGTCCAGGGGTGCAAAGGGGGGTCACACATCCCTGCTGCACCCCAAGACCCCCTGTTTGTGGCAGGTGTGAGCACACGCTGCAGGGACACACCTGGGGACACTCTGGGGTACCCACGGACACGGGTCAGCCCTCCGGGACACCTCCCCGCACAGCCCTGCTGGGCTCAGGGCCATCGGAGGGGATCGCCATCCTAAACGGGGACTCCAAAAAGAATACCGGTGTTTGAAATGCACCCGTGGCTCAACACATGGAAATGTCACGTTTCAGAGTGGCAGCGCTTGACTTGTCCCCCACAATAACCACATTAAGTGTTTCTGTCGGGAGAAAGTCAGGATCTGGTCTCAAAATACCATGGGAAGAGTGGAATGCAAAAAAAAAAAAAAAAAAAAAAAGAGTAATTTTTTTTTCGCTAAAAATTGTTGTGTCTGGGCCTTTCAGCAGATCTTCTCCGGTTCTCTCTCCTCTCCTGTTTCCTCTCCCCCTTCTGCAGCGAACGTTTTGGGAACTGCAAGGAAATCCAGAGCCTCAATCTTTATTTGCTCGGGCTGTTCCACTGAAATGTGAAATCTGAATGGAGCAGGGGTTACAGGGCAGGGCTGTTTCTGCTGCCTGGCACCCGCAGGGGGGATCTGGGGGCAAAGAAGCACAATCCCAGCATGATTCCCGTTGGCGTTTGTGATGCCAGCCCCAAAGCCACCCTGTGCCAGCCCCTGGGCAAACGACATCGGGAGCCCGCAGCCCCTTGACCACTGGAGGGAGCCCATATTGTGCCAGAATGCAACAGAAACACTACGGGGAAGACAAAAAAATACTAAAATATGAAATATCAGATCATTGTAGTCAGAACAAAGTGTCTTCTCCAGGTCAGACCGTGATCTATAACAATGCAAAATGTTATAAAAATCAGATTTAAATGTCCCATTGTACTTCATCAGCACAAAGAAGAGAAAGAATTATTAAGAGCAAGGCTCTTTTTTTTTTTCCTCTCTTATTTTGAATGTCAGTCTGGCACCTTTCACCGGGAGTGAATTCATACGCCAGGATGGTGACAGACCTGGCTTGGAGGGAAAATGCCCTTGTGTCATCCCAAGGGCCAGCTGAGCTTCCCCTCACTCTCCTCACTTACATGTAGGTCAGCACCTATAGACTCCTTCCCAACCCACCCCCGAGCTGCTGCAGCTCACCGCTGCTGCTTTCCGAGGAGATTTGGAAAGGAGATTCCTTTTGGAAAGGAGATTTCTTCCCTTTTGGAAAGGAGATTTCTTCTGTTCTGCCTCTCTCACTCCAGAGATGTCATGTTTATGGCACAACATGCACCTACAGGAGGCTGCCCTGCACCAAAAACTCGGCTTGGCAATTGTGCCCAGGAATGTTCCTGGCCCCCTAAATTCTGTGTTGTGAACGCTGAAATATTTGTAATTCAAAACACACTTTTAACACACAAATATTTCTGGCTTCGCAGAGTGATGCCAAGTTGCTGGAGACCCTGAAATGTCAAAATGGAATAAAACTGAAAGCAATTTATGTACTAATCTGTTTTCTTGGCCCTGGAGAAATTACCATCAAAAGCATGATATAACCACAGCCCCACAGAGAGCCCGTTGTGTTTGACACCCCTGTTCTAAAATACTGTCCTTGATGGATAAAAACACATTCTAGTAAACTTTTCCTGTCTTACCTGAGCTCTTTACCATTGAATACAGGGCTTTGTCCAATGTAATTTGATTTTCCCCCCTATTTTGGTCTCCCACTGGGGTTTTGCCTTCCCACTGCCCTGGTTGTTCACCTGGGGGCTCACACAGATCCAGGTGGGTTTGTCCCCCAGCACCAGCACCTGGGGCTCTGTAGCAGCTGGTGGCTGCTGTCACCACTCATGGCACATCTGTCCCCTAATTGCCCTGAGCTGACAGGACCCTGGCAGGGCACAGGCTTCTCCTTGAGCTGTGTTTTTCCAGAGCTGCTCCAGCACAGGAACCATCACTGCAGGCAGCCCCTTTGAAGGCTCTCCTTCCCCCCAGCACCCAGGTAGGGCTTTTGCCACACGTGAGTAAGAGCAGATGTGAGCTGGGGTGAAGCAGAGGCAAAGGGACAGATGATGCAGGGCTCAGTGCTCACAGAGCATGAGGAGTTCCTCTGCTGCCTGGGAAAGCTCCTTGCCCAGTCTGCCTGTGTGTCAGGGAAAGGGCCGTGACCACAGTGTCCCCAGGGTGTGCTGGGTGGGTGGCTTTGAGCACACAGAGCCAGGCACTCACACAGATACAGCGTTTTCTCTGCTGAGAGTGACAAAGCTGAGCTAAGCAAAGGTCTTCACACGTTCAGGGCTGTGCTGGGGGGCTCAACCACACCCAGGCAGAATATTCCTCCAGCACAGACATTACATCTCTTGCTTGGTTGTGTATCACCCAACCAAGCACAAAATCATCACCCAGCATTTCTTGCAGTTCTTACCCAGTATTGCAATGCTGAGAAGGCCCCGACGATGGAGAAATGATGAGGAGGACTCCATGGATATCA